CCACCGTAACGTAACTTTTTTTAACGCCGTAGAGATTAACGTAAGATATAAAAATAAAGTCTATTTAAAAATGTCCGTAAGGTAAGAGTTGAGCATGCGTGTTGTATTTCAGAGATTATCAAATTACTGACAACCTAATGAAATAAACGAGTGTAAACTATGTAGGTACTAAAGGCATTTCTTTATAAGCTTACCATAACTTACTAGAACATATTATATTATATTTTAGTTTAGTTACTTGTCGTGTAATAATATTAATTTAAATATTGTACCAGTCTTAGCAATAATATCCATGTAATAAGGCTAAAAGCCTGTTTGGGTTGTGAAATAAATAAATAAATAAATAAATACTTATGTAACCCAAGCAATTCTTTAGACGGTTTGGTTACTTCCATGACGTCATACGTTAGTTACCAAAATACATAACTACTACTAACCATGATGTTTTTAGTGGTAAGGTCTCTATGGTCCACATTTGAACATATCGAGCATGCGCAAAGAATTGTAAAGAGATTAAGTTAGATAAATTTTTCTGGGGTTACGGGTTAGGTACATGGTTTATTTTGTATATTTGGATTGGGCATTTTTGTATTTAACAAAGAAAACTCTATTTACTATGAAATCAAGATCCTATTTTATTTTACTACTTATTTTATTTTTTTAAACCTAAGCGGAGTTAACAATCGATGCTATGGATTAAAAATTAAGCTTCTGGTGTTATTAAGAGAGAAATATATCATTCCCAACTACGGGACTCTGACAAAACAATTATATTTGCAAATATTTTTTGTATAAGATACTTTTTAAAATAACATAAAAAGAGAAAAAACCAGTGTCGCATTCTACTAAGTCGCGGGCACGCCTTCTTAAAAATAGGTTAAAAAATTATGGTACGCCTTACTTTTGTATCCAAATCCGTCACTGTTAGAGTCTGGTTGAGCTATACAGAACTTCATCTTAAGACCACACAGTGCGTCTACTCGCAGATATCCAGTAGTTCGATAAATTTATCTTACTGTGACGTTGTGTTTCTGCAAATTAGGAAAAGAATCGATCTCAAAGTCGGTCAATTACAAAATGAAATAAAAAGTGTGTATGACAACTACTTTAGTTCATTAAGATTTCGGTATATGTATATAAATGAGATTTAATTTTTTTTAAGGAACTTGTACGGCATCAGAGCCTTACTTTTAGTAAATAAGAACTGTGTTGAAGGACAATAAAGTACAGAAGAATGGGATGGTAAAGACGAATGAGCATAGAATAGTTGGTTTTGTTATAATGCAAAAATATGGGCCAATTCAATTTTCAAATAATATACGAGGCTAAAAAAATATAACATCGATACTGGTAGTAGTCACGTGCAAGTAAATTTTTGTAAAGGTGAATAAATGAAAAAAAAATAAAGTTTTTAAACAAAGATATGTAGTCTGAAGTTATAGAATACCTGAGAGGTATTCGAATATAATTGTAAAACACTATCACTGAATATACCAGAACAGAAGTCTAAGACTCAATCCAAAGTTTCTGGTTTAAGTTATAGGTTTCATATTTTATAATACAAAAACTAAAATAATTAAAACATAAAATTGACCAATGTTGTACCTGCTCTGTTTAAATTAATCTAATTTGTTATTTGCAACAATCATTCCAAAAATGAATAGTGTTCTTCCCGTAGATACCTATATAAAATGTTTTAATACGTAAGATACAGATAATCCACTGAAGAAGTTGTACAGTATATTTTTTCTACGACTTATTAATGAAAATATAAATTTAGAAGTTATTAAGATAAAATAACTATTTTAAAAATAATTCAAGTAACTTTTACTAATTTTTAAAATAAAATAAACTTGAAAAACTCAGTACGCTACCCTCAATTCCATCAACTTCCATCACCTTACGTTTTAGTTTTTTGTAAATATAGATAAATATCTTGTGAAATGGTATTTATTATTTATCGATTTTTCACAAGCATCAAACATTTTTAATTATATTTAATCTCAATAACTATAAAATATAATAAAAAAAATATAATCTATTTACTAAGTGACAATTCTGTCCAAGTAATTGTCAGTATATTTTTTATTTATTGAGACTAAATATACATTAAAATGATCGATAAATAATAGCATTTCTATTATTATTTCATCTATATTTAAAAATAAACCATACATTTAAAAAAAAAACTATATGAAATCAATTTAATTAAGATTATTAAAATTAAAATATTATGTGTGGCGATGGAGCAGTAACTATATATATCATTTGGTTTTCACGCAGAGGTCTCGAGTTCAATTCTAGAATTGGAGACTAATTAAATTATTATATAAATTATTAACAGTCATAAATTATTTTTAAATTAGTTATTTTATCTTAATTACCTAAAATAATTTTTTAAATTTTTAGAGTTTTCGTTAGTGGGTCGTAGAAAAAATATACTGTACAACTCGAGTGAATTGTTTGTATGGCCATCATTTCCAGTCTTGTTTCACAAACTACTATTTTGACCTATGCCAAAAAAATCAAGCGACTCCGACCTCTAAACTTTCTTTTTTATTTTTAGTTTACTTTTTAACAATATTGCTGACCCTAGTTTTTTCTATTGTAAAATAGTAGTCCATAATCCACATATACACCAAATTTATATATCTACAGGGATTTTACATTGAATTAGAGAAGGCACTAAAATTATAAATTGATTTGACGTAAGCATACTGTCATTACAGCAATTATTGTTTAATTATTATCAAGAATATATCTATTATATAGATCACAGCCATTTCAGTCATAAAAATAATTGGAAATAACAAGATTTCAAATTGAATTTTCTATATTTTTCAAAACCTAGGTACATTCGAATAAATTTTTTTATATGAAATACGGATTATAAAAAGTGTTTTATTTTTGGATTCAATTTTTCGTCCTTATAACATAAACTACTATTATATTGTGGTTTATTTTATAAATATGAAAAATTCTTATAACGGTGTTATTTAAAATTTTACTTATTACTGAGAAACATATTTTCTTAAAATTTTATTCTGGCTTGACACAGTTTACATGATCAATTCTTAATAATTATTTCATAAAACAAAAAAATATTGCTTACAACACTTCAGTTATCTCAGCCTAGTAAACTCTGTCAGAGAAAAGGTTCTTTAGAGTGAGATAATACAAATAATGATAAAAAAACAGTATTAGAATCCAATTTATGGATCCATTTAGGAATTATACCTCTGTATAAAACGATCTCATAAATTTGTATGACTGCTGATAATCGTTTTTCTAAATGACACTCTAGGTCTAGAAACCGTTAAAGTTAAAGACCACATCCCGCTGTCCCTTTTTCAGCTTTGACAAAGTTCCAAATGAAGCTTTCCCAGCACAATCGGTTCCTTTGTTTCTTCCGAGTCACATTGTTTCACCTATTGCCACACAAAACGTCTCAATCGGTTTTAACTGTGCACGACGGTCTTTTATTGTTGAAAAAATCCGGCAAAAGAGCAGCTAAACAATATCACAAAAAGATATTTCAAGCCTACTCGAGACCAGATGTAGAGAGGAGGATTGCTTGCTTGTTAAGTTGAACCGAACCGTCAAAATCGGACCAAGACAATGTCATGTCGCGAAAAGGTTGAATACCTAACTTAATTGTAGTGTATTTTTTTTAATAATTAATTTAATGAAAATTAGATTTATACAGGGTGTTATAAAAGGTAGTTTACATCGTAAAATGCTCAATTATTAAATACATTCAAGAGCTCAAAATAGTATCTACTTGTGCCAAGATAGTATGACACTATAAGAACAAACCACATTTTTATGTTTAAGACACATTTAAATATTTTAATAATTTTTGAATTTTTGTGATAAATGCAAAATACCCGTGATTGGTACAATAATTGACATGGTTCGTAAAATAAAGTTAAGTAAATAATACTTACGAAGAGAGATAAAGTATGTTGATAATAAGTTATAAAATATTATGAGCCAATACTTATATTTTAGAACATGCTTTACAAACAAAATTTTTGGACGCAAATTGTTCTTTTCGGAAAAAGGCGTATGTGACCATAACATTTAAATATAAAAAACTGGTTGTTAATAGAATATCTGGAAATAAATCGTTGTCAAACATATTTCTCCCCTTTCTGCAACAACATTGTTGTTTCTTCTCCTATTATATATCCTGTCGACATATTTAATAATAGTACTATAGCCCTTTTCAATTAAATAGGACACAATTTCACTAAACCATTTTCTCAAATAATTTTCTGCTAGGTTACTGATTCGGATGATTTTTCTTCTTGTATCTTCGTAAAAAAACCGTGGTACTAATGGCATTCTGGAACATATTCGTACATCTTCCATTTCTCTAGACTCTAGAAGGTTTCGCATTCCTTAACCAATCTAACTATTCACTTTCCTCTTATTTACTTAAGACTATTGATGTACTTTTTTAACTTTTTTTATATTCTCTAGGTTTCGCTCATGGCAAGGGCGTATCCAGCTCAAAACAAAAGGGGGGCCGCTTTCTGAATTCATTGTTTTAAGGGAAGGATAGTGCTAAAATAATATATAATACCAAAATGAATTCACCATTTATTAAAAAAAATTAATTTTTTAACAATAGTTTGCGTGGATTGCTTGCAAATCTTCTAATTACATCCTCTACCAATTGCTCTTTGTTTGCAAAAACCCACTGACGATGAATGCTAAGCATAGCTAATCCATTCAATCTATTTTCACTAATAGTGCTCCTTAGCCATGTTTTAATTCTACGAAGAGAGCTAAACGAACGCTCGATAGTGCTAGTGGTACAAGGTTGCGAAAGCAATATCAGAAGAGGCTTTCTAATTGTCGGAAAAAACATTTCAAAATCTCGGTAATGTCTGGTGTTTCCTGCACCTTATTTCACATTTTGAACCATAATTCACCTTCTCCTTCAATGCCTTTCAAATTGTAGAAACTTTCACAAGATGACGTGCTTTTTTTTTTCATTCTTCCAATGAAACATATTTCATGTTACCCGGATGAAAATGGGTTAAAGAAAATGCAGGTGATTTTTCTGTGGAAAATCTTAATTGTAGAGATCCAATGATTGAATCAAAGTAAGGAGTTATGAGAGATCTTTTCCAAAAGTCGCCTGAGTTTTGTCGGCCAGCAATACGAGCGACAATTATATCAACATTCAAAGGCTTTGCTATATCGCCTGCTTCTTTTAAAATTTCAGCCTTTACGTTCTCCGCATTCTTCCGATAATATCTTAGCATTTCAACAATAGTTTGAATAGGCTCGTTGGCTTTAACTATATCAAGTGTTTTCATTTGAAGTATATTTGCTACGGGTTCCATAATGGCGGAATACTTAGCAGTTAATGATACTAATACAATAAACGAAGATTTTCATGCCGCTGCGTGCATTTAATATGCACTTTTTCTTGTCGCTCCATTTCCCTCCTCAGCTAATGTCTAGTGCATCAGCTAAATCGACAAAGTGTTTTTTAAAAACATGAATGTTTTTATATTTCTCTGACCACCTAGTTTAACAAAATTTAGGAATGTTTGCAATAAGTTTGCGTCGTAAAATAGACTCGCGGAAAAATGTAATTATCTTCTTGATAGTCCCAACGCTGTTTCGTATTTCCGGGATAACATTCAAGTCGTTCACGACAAGGTTAAGCTTGTGCGAAGAGCAGTGGAAGTAGAAAGCGTTTTATACCTTTGCCTCATGATCACTTGCACGCCCGCCTCTTTTCCATGGTGGAACATCCATCAAAACCTAACCCCACACACTTATTAGGATCTAGGTCTAAGTTTGTCACAAAATCATCAATGACTTTGACAATACTTACTAAATTAAGTCCTTCTGCAGTTTCTTCAGCCAGAATGCTATAAGCACAAGCTTCTTTAACATTTGAGATGATTTGTTCTTTTATTGAAGCGCCACAAAGATCAATTATTTCATTTTGAATGATAGGTGATCGGTATGATGCGTTTTTTGGTCCGTGCTGAAAATGGTGTCCTAATTATGAATCACCTGCTTTGATGCATAAATAACACAAGTCTATAAGCACGCCTTTTTAAATTGAATAATATATTTTATTTCATACACTGAGGAAAACGCTTCAGTAAGAAAGTGTTACTACTAAAAAGTTTACTATGGCTGTAAAACTTTTTACTGCTACTGTTAGATTGTCTAACAACAACTGTTAGATGTGTTACTAGGACTGTAAAGTAAGTTTTACAGTCCAATTTTTACCGTGGCAGTAATATTTTTTTACTACTCCAGAAATAGAATTACTATTATTCGTATTACCATCATAGTAAACCTTTCTTACTGAATCAGTAATTTGTATTACTACCGCAGTTAGACCTTGACTAGTAACATTTTTATAACTACCACCGTAAAACTAGCATACTGAATCTGCAAAATAGTAATATTTTTCTAACAACCACGGTAAGACAGGTTAACAACAAATGTACCGAACCGTTACGATTAATGACGAAGAGCTTCGATCATATCCTTTTGCACAGGCGTTGACTTGAGTCGACGATAATCACAGAAGCAGTCAACACGTCCAATCGTCGCATCGTGAGCTTAGGTCATAGCGTGCATGAAGAAGTGCGAAGTGCTGCGTAATTTCTATCTGGGGGTATAAATGGTATAATATTGAATATGGAATATTGTGCATTGTTAACGGAATGGGGGTTTTCGGACCTAGTTCATAGTTTCGTTGGTAAGTAATTCGAAATAATATACTTATCTAAATATAGTACCTGTATCCATTTTTATTTATACATTAGTAAAAAATGCGGGAAATGCATAATGCATGAATGCTTTTATTTCGAATTGAGGATGAGCTATACGGTCTAGAAATGTTTTAACTGCACCGGAGCATATTCGCAGTATCAAAAATGTAATATTTCCAAGAGAAAGTTTTTAGATTAAAATTTATTAAAAATGTTTGGTTAAGATTCACAGAGCAATAAATTTGTTAGATTTAAAAGAAAGCTGTGTTCAATGAGACATAGCGATAGCGATACCAATCGTATCGATCCATATCATTTTCGAGCGTTTCATTTCTACTCTAGTCTCTAACTTTCTGCTGCGATCGCGAAATTTGAGCGGGAAAGCTCATAAAAACAACCTAAAACTCCTAAACCCTATTCCTATTTCAGATTACTTAAAAAATATATCTTGAACAACCTGGTTATGCTTCATATAGTGATAAAAATCATAAAAAAAAACCTTAAATATAAAAATATTGTAGATTGTTGATCAAAACACTTAAGTGACAATAAACAAGTTCACTTTCAGTTGCAAATACTACGTTTCATTAAACTTGAATTGTCGTTCCACACAAATTTAATTTTTATTTTTAGATGAGGGCATTGATGATAATTCATTTCAATTATTAGATGAAGAAAGCATAAGGCATCTTATTTTAAGAAAAAATTCGAGGAATTTTGTATGACCAAAGAAAATACCATGGTAAAATTGATATTGTTTTATTATCCAAATTTGACATTTATATCTCGAATGGTTTTCGAGTAAACTTCCGTTCCTGCAGCTTTGGATTAAAAATATACCCTGTAAATGTTTTTTTTGTACCTTATAAAAATTATAAAAACATTTTAGCTCTGCTGTGCTATGCTGATTTCAAAATAAACAATTTTTCCTTTTTTTTTTATTTTGTCAATCCTTTTATGAAAAATTGACCGAAGATTTTCCAGAGGAAAAAATTAAGCAAATCGATTTATTTAGCTGAAATTGATTTAATTTTGTGTAAATATTTTTCCAGAGCTGTAACATAGTTTTACTGCCGCAGTCGAATAAATTCTTAGTAATCCAAATATTAGCAAATCTTGTATTACTGTCACGGTAAAATCTTCTAGCTGAGGCATATTTCATTAACTTTTTCTTACTGCCACGGTAAGAATTTTTTTTCGGTGTAGCTACTTTTCGTACTAGTAAACTTTAAAAAAATATTTATAAAAAATTAAAAATCAATGGACCATTAAAATCAAATATAACTTCCAGAATATAATTTCTTGTATTTTAAATCTTTTTTAACGTTCGGCATTTTGAGTACTTGTAAAAAGAAATATCAGATTAAATATACTTCAGTAGCAGTATAATTTTTTCTCTAATAATTACAGAATATAATACTATAATAATATTTATACAAATATTTGATAAAAACTACCTATTAAATCATTTGTTTGATTTATAAAAGCTCTTTTCCTTGTGAAACTATTTAATTAATTTTTTAAATATGTTTTATTATTAAGTTCTTTTAAACATATGTTTATAGGTCATTATTATGTCTTTTTATGGATGCATCTCAACCTTTGGCGAGTAAGTTTTCCTGTTGGTTTTTTTACGAATAATTTCGATTTTATACAATTTTTAATAAAAAAATAATATCAGACGGGCCTAAAATATATTTTGAATTTTACATGAAATACTCTGTCTTTCTTCATTAAATCATACACTTGTTTTCTTGTGTATTAAAAAATTGGCTAAATTTGTTTTAGCTTTTACTTAACAAAAATATTGGTCTGGTAGGTGGTGCCAACATATTCCTGCCGTATACAAGCGTCGACCGCAGCTCTAAACAATGGTTTAGTCTACCGTAAACGGTTAACGTTTACGGTATACGTATAAAAGACGAAACATGTCGTAATATTTCGTTCCGCAGGAGGAATTGTACAACCGCATTCGCGAACAAACACACAACTCTGACCTCGTACGAGTAAATATTTCGCGACCAAAGAATTTATTTTGAAACTTTTCCGTGTGTTTATCTCTGGAATGCCATCTTTTTAGTTGTATCTTCTGAAATCTGTTGAAAAATGCGAACGCAAGTACGAGGGAATTCGTAAAATGTATTTATTTACCTACATGGCTGCTGTAAAACATTATGAATTGTTAAATTGAGTCTATTTTTTTTATCGTTCTTGGAATCATGTTTTAAACACTAGAATTTATGCTTTATGCTTATATTTGTAGACTCAAGTACCAAAATTGTTTCCAAAATAACAATTTTGATACATTTTGATACACACTCACTATGTGAAAAGTCACTAAAATGGACTATTTCAAATAATTTTTAAAAAAAAATCAAAAATGTGAAACTTCCATTAATTTATTCCGAAATATATCCAATACGGTTCTATCTAACTTAAATAATGTGTTCAAAGTTGTCACCATTCTCTTCAACATAATGCTGTTTATGGCGGTGCTGATATCAAATTTTGATGAAATTATTAATTTGATCATAACTTCTTTGAAGGATGGAAAATGTTTGTTGGACAAATATGGACAAATCAAGGACAAACGATATCAAAAATTTTTTAAATAAAAACTCGCATTTGCACTTTAAAGGAATGTGCTATAGGACTTAATACATGATATATGCTTTACACATTAGCATGTTATGATGATATTTAATTGAGGCAGAAGATACAGGGTAACAACTAAAATTTTAAAATAGCGTCACATAGTCATAAGGTTGAGTTTTAAACAATAAATGTTTTATGTGGGTAAACGAAAATGGTGAATATTCAATTATCAATTCCATAATTCAATTCCTCACCTGTAAGTCAAATGGCACCATCAATCATCTTTAAGTCGCCCCGAAGCGCCACGTTAAATAATAATAATAATACCGTCCCTTTTCCCGCACAAGCTCAGCTTTTGGGGTTAAAATTCACTCGTAAGGGGGTAAATAAGGGAGAGTATTATTATTATAACGAACTGGTAATTTTGAATGTCTTCCGGATCTGGTATATGTTTCTTTAGGTTTTTTTTCTTGCATTTCTCATCTTGTCTGATTTCCGCCTCTCTTTTCTCTCTTCTTTCTTCTTCGTGCTGTGCTGTGAATTTTTTGCCATTCTTTCTTCTACATTTTTCTAGATAACGTGTTTTTAACCCTTGAGAATGTGTTTCACATATTTCGAGTGGAAATAACCTCTGAAATGTTCGAAACAGGTTCTCATTCATAGTTGTTACTTTGGCTACTCTGGACACTTTATTTTTTCCTGGATATAAATGAATTATTTTTCCCAAAGGCCAATATCCACGTTTTTTACTGTTATTTCCTATAGAAACTACCTTTAGTGTACTTTGTTTTCTTTGACCAACGTTCATTAGTTTAGCTAAGTATTCTCTTCTGAATCATTGTCTAATGTTGTTTCGAACTTTCTGTATATGTCTCACACGTTTAACTAAATATGTTCGATCAATAGCGTCCAAATCAGGCACTTCACAACTACTCCCTATGTCATTTAGGAAGGTAGAGGGACTTACGGGAATAAAGTTGTCTTCTATGTCACACAAAATCGTCATT